GCTCTCGACCGGCCCGTCCCTAACCTCACCCAACCTCGCCCAACGCGGCCTAGGATAGGACCGCTCAGCGGGCCCGGCCGCTGCGCCCGCGCACCCATCCACTATACTTTCTTCCCGCCAAAGACCATCAAGCCGTTGCCAACGCGATGAAAAGTGGGGGGAACCTAGATAATCGAAAAGACGCATCATATGGCAAGGGAAGGACTAAGAGTGGGCTGCGGCTGGCGGTCTGGGAGTCCGGGACCTTGAGCCGGATACTCGAGGACCCACGGTCGCCTGCCTGAGAGGGCTAAATCGACCAATCAGGAGACATTCTGTGTCTGGCGCCGCCACCGGCGGGGTCGGGGTCGGCGCCCCGCCACCAACCGGCTACTCCCAGCCACGCCCCGCCACGCCCGCCACGCCCCGCGACGCCGCGTTCGCGTCACCGACCGAACCTCACACCGCGTCTTCGTGACGTCCGGCGTCTGTCACGCGGCGCCACGCCGTGTAGCAGGTGGAGTGAAAGCGGAAGTTCAAGGCCGGTTCAAGTCCTGCTGCGCGTCGGCCTCTTCAGACGGACGGACGGACGGGTCTTTGGCCAATCTGTGTGGTTAGAGCTCTGTTTACAAGTAGTGCCTCTGGCCTCGCGGAGAGCGCGGGCACAACATGCAGCTCTTACCTCCTGCGATCATCACGCTCCTCTGCTATCTCGGGATCCCGTGGCCCTGCTTCATGCTGCCCCGACGACGGGTGAGCAGCAAGCAGCGAGCAACGCACCGCGCTCCGCTGGCGGGGTGAAAATGAATGAAAGCAAAACTCTGAGTAGGCAAGGAATTCCAAACTGCCCCACATGGGGAGCAAGTTCCGCCACGGTCGGTGCGCGCCCCGGCCCGGCAGGCAGCAGGCCCTGCCCGCTCCCTCCGCGCCGACAAGCCACGCACGTACATGCACCGCTCGCGAAGGGAAACCGACGTGTGTTTGGCGAGCGAGGTGTATACGGGCACCACCGGGCGGCGGGTCGCGGTGAAGGTCGACATTCTCCCGCCCCTAAATTATGTGCGCAGAGCGGCGCAGAGGGAGGTAATGGATTATTCCAAGCCCAATTCTTTCACAAAGCTTACTCGTCTTCCCACTCTTCATTTCCCGGCACATCTGTTTTTCTTTGCCCTCAAATTCGCGGGGCAGTCATTGCTTAAGCTCAAATCTGCAAGATGTCATTTTTAGCATCGGCCACCAGCCGTTTTGTCCTCTTCCCGCTATGTCGATCGATAGTTTCATGTTGTTAGACCCACTTCCCTCTTGCCCGCCGCATCTGCGGTGGCGGTGAGTCAGCCCCCAGCCCTCGAGTCCGGCCCAGTCGCTCCGCCGCCCGGTGGGTAGGCAGCCCAACCGACTGGAAGGGCCTCTGTGCTGCGGGTCGCCGTGGCTCGCAGGCGGCTGCAGGCAGGCGGCTCGTTTCTATACCGGGGAATGACCACGCGTTTCCCCTGCTCATGCTGCAAGCGGCTGCCTCACTGATGGGTCGTGATATTGAAATGGTGTGACGCCATGCCGATCGCGTCGCTGCTGTTCCGTACGCGGAATAATTAACCCTATCATCGTGCTCAGTTTTCTCTCTCTTTGCATAAAGGTGTATCGGCGCCTTTTGTTTGCGGGCGATAGTAAGCAGGTGGGAAGAAAGTGGGTTTATCACGCGTTTATTATCGAATATTGTATGATACAACTGCTCTAGACGCACTGGGTTGTGAATAAGGTACAGGAGGGGCGCCGGGCTTATTGGGCGCGCTAGGCGCGGCTGAGCCCGGGCATGGCGAGCAGCGCGTACCTCAGCGAGGTGGCCTGCGCGCTGTTGCCGAAGGTCTCCCACGTGGCGAAGCCCTTGCCCCGCACCGCGTCGGGCCCCGCGTTGGGCCCCGTGTCCTGCTCGCCGCCGATCCGGAACGAGCTCTTGCTGAAGCGGTGGTACGCGCTGGGGGTGGGTGATGACGTCAGGGATGACGTCATGGCCTTGTTGGAGGAGGGCGCGAACGCCAGCGGCGTCAGGGGCCCCATGGGCGCGGGCTCGGGCAGGAACTGCGACCGGTAGCCGCCGCCCTGGTAGAAGGTGCCGCCGCGCAGGTCCAGCACGCCCTGGCCGTTGCCTGCACGGCCCATGAGCGGCACGGGCGAGGGTGGCGGGTAGTAGGGGTAGGGGTTGGAGTTGCGCACGGCGCTCGAGGGGTCGTACAGCCCCGAGCTGGTGATGACGCTCGACTGGAAGCCGGAGCCGCCGCCGCCGCCGTCCCTGCCGCCCAGGAAGTCGGAGCTGCCCTGGAAGCCAGTTGAGCCGCCCTGGAAGCCCGCCGTGGAGCCGCCTCGGAAACCGCCTCCTGCTCCACCCTGGAAGCCGCTCGCTCCACTCTGGAAGCCGTTGGATCCGGATTGGAAGCCGTTGGATCCGGTCTGGAAGCCGTTGGATCCGGTTTGGAAGCCACCGCCATCGCCGCCACTGCTGCTGCCGAGATTCTGGAAGCCTCCTTGGAAGCCTACACCTCCTCCTCCTCCTGAAGGCAGAAGAGACCCGGTCAGTGCCTGCTGTGCGGGTCCGCCGCCGCCCCGTCCCCGAGTCCGGGACTCACCTGTGCCCGTCCGCTGCATGCCGTGGAAGCCGCCGCCGCCGCGCTTGCCACCCGCCGCCGCCACCTCAGCCTGGTTGAAGGAGCCGCCGCCGTTGAAGTACTTGCCGCCCTGGGTCTGCGTACCTCCGTGGTTGTTGCCGTGGTGCTGGTAGTCCAGCTTGGCGCGGTCGTCGAAGCCGTCGTGGTGGGCGGTGTTGCCCGCCTGGGCGCGCACGTCCTGGTAGGCGGTGCCGCCGTCGAAGCCGCCCTGCTTGCCCGCGCCATCGTTGACGAAGGCGGCGTTGAGGAAGTCGCCGCGGTTCTTGGCGGCGCCTTGGTCCAGGTAGGTCTTGCCCGTCTGGTCGAACGCCTTGTGCCCACCCTCGTCGTTCAGATCGTCGAAGAAGGAGGTGGAGTTGGCCGACTCGTCCTTGTGGTACGTGTTGCGGAAGCCCGCGTTCTTGAAGCCCTTGCGGTGGTTGCCGTTCTTGTCCTCGTACGTGCCGCTCGCGCCCTTCTTGTCGAAGGCCTGGCCGGTGTCAAAGTTGCGGCCAATGTCGTGGCCGGACTTGACGCCCTGCTGGTTGCCGTAGTAGCCGTTGTCCCGGCGCTGGCCCTGCTGGCCGGCCTGGGAGTCGCCGTACTGCGCGCGCTGGTTGAGCCCGTTCAGCGAGCGCTGCGCCGCCGAGCCGTAGAAGCCCACCTCACCGCGCTGCCCGCCCTGCTGGCCCTGGTCGTTGAAGAACTCGCCGTTGCGCGCGCCCTGGACGAAGTCGCCATAGCGCGACAGCAGCGTGGGCACGACGTAGGCGGACGCGGCCCCCGTCAGGTCGCCCTTGATGTAGCCCTTCACCTTGACCATCTCGCCTTCCAGGGTGCCGTAGATTTTTACGGTGCCCTCGTCTTGCTGGCCCTCGGACACCGTCTCCGTCGTAGACGAGGAGGTCGCCGAGGTAGCGGGCGTCGGTGCGGCCCGGCGTCTCCGTCTGGCCTGAAGTTGGCTCTTCTTGTTCTGCTGCTGCTGGTGACCCTTGTGGCCTTGCTGCTGATGACCTTTCTGGCCCTGCAGCTGTCCCTTTGAATCCTTCTGGCCCTGCTGCTGACTCTTTACATCTTTCTGGTCTTGCTGCTGACCCTTTACTTCTTTCTGGCCCTGCTGATGACCCTTTGCATCTTTCTGGTCCTGCTGCTGACCCTTTGCTCCTTTCTGGTCCTGGTTGGTGTCGTCTTTGGGAATGAGCAGCTTACCGTCCACGGCGTCGACCTTCTCGGCTCGTCTACGCCGCCGGACTTTCGCCTCCGTGTCGATGACCTTGAGGGCCTTGACGAAGGTGGCGGTGCCTCGAACAGTGACGCCCTGGGGTATGTGAGGGATGTCGTACTGCTTGGTCGCGCCGCCGGGTGACTTGACGAGTATGTGCTGCGCTTTCGGTTTCAGCGTCTCGATCTCGTCGTCTGGGCGCGCCGCTGACGGCTTACGCTGGGTCTCCACCCGCTCTACCTCCCTCTTCTTGGGGGCGGCAGTCGAGGCGGGGGCCGCAGGCGCAGGGGTCGTGGGCGCAGGGGCCGCGGGCGCAGGGGCCGCGGAGGACGCGGCTGGCGGGCCCTGGCCAGTCTTGACCACCACCTGCGAGCCGTCCTTAAGGGTGCGCACCTCCGTCTGCACGTTGGGGTTGCTCTTGATGCTGATGACGGAGCCCCCTACACTCTCGGGGGCGCGGTTACCCTTGGGCCCCTTGCCCGCCTTGGGCTGCGACCCCTTGTGCGGCGGCAGCTCGTGCGGCTTGAGCTCCCGGATGGCCCTCCTGGTGCGCGGCACCGCCATCCTCTGTCGGGCCTTCGCCGCCGCCGCGCCACTCGGCGCCGCCTTGCTGGCGGCCTTGTTGGCCGACTTGGGGTGGCTGTGCCGGTGGTGATGAACCTTGAACACGTCCGCGCCGACGCTCTTGAGGACCTCCGGGCTCACGACGACCGCGGACGCTGACGCAGTAAGGACAGGAGTCAGTCCCCTGCGGTCGGCGTCGGCAAGACTGCGCGCTCTCCTGGGGCTGGGCTGCTTGGACGCGGCCGTTTTGTGCTTCTGCTTCTGCTTCTGGGCTTGCTTCGCCCTGTCACTGTTGTGGCCAGCTCTTCTCCGCCGCCGCGACTTTGTCGGCTGGACTCGTGTCGCCGCCGTCGCTCCTCCAGATTCTCCCGGTTTTTGCTCACCTCCGGCGTCCTTGGCAGGGCTTTTCTTTGCTGCGCTGGTGGCACCCTCCAGCCCCTTTCCTTCTGCTTTCTCCTGCTGGTCGTTTTCCGATGCCGGATTTCCTTCCGTTTTCTGTTGAACCGACGCAGTTTCTCCTGCATGTATCTTCGTTCCCTTCTGTGCGTCAGATCGCCTCCTCCTTCCCCCTTTCTTCTCGTGTCCGCCCCCCGCCTTCTGGGGCTGCGGTGCTGCCTCCGCCGTCCCCGGTGCCTTTGGCTCTGCCGGCACTTGGGCCTGCGTCCCTTTCGACGGTGCATTCTGCGCCTCCTTTGGTTGCTCCTTTGGTTCCCCCTTCTCTTCTTTCTTCTCTTCTTTCTTGTCTTCCTTCTTTTCTACCTTCTCTTCCTTTTTGTGCCCCTTCTTGTTCTCCGCGTTGCTCCTCCTGCCTCTCGCCTTCTTCGCCCCCGCTGGAGCCCTGGGCAGCACCTCCGCGTCGTTCTTCTTGTTGTCCTCCTTCTGCCTCTGCTCGTCCGCAGCCTTCTTGCTCTTCTGCTCCGCGCCCTTCTTTTCGTCCTCCGCGCGTGGGAGCGGCGCCCCCAGCGCGGCACCGCGCCGCGTTACGAACGGCGCGTCCTTGAAGGCCGTTTCCTTGTCTGCTCGTCGCTTTGCGCGGTGCGGCTGCCCCTGCGCGTTCTGCTTCACTTGGCGCGCTTCCTCGTGTGTCATCTGCCGATGGCTGTCGTCGGGGAGGTGCAGGTGGCCCGTGGCGTTGGCGGCCGACATCTCCACCTGCTCGGCGTCTTGCTGCGGCGGCTTTGGCGTCGACTCCTGTTCGGCAGCCTCCGTGGCCGGCTGGGCCTTCTTGTCGGTGACTGGCGTGGACTTCTCTTTGTTGAGGTCGGGAGCCTCCGCAGCCGGCTGAGCCTTCTTGTCGGCGGCTGGTGCGGACTTCTCTTGGGTGGGCTTGGCAGCCTCCGCGGCTGGCTGGGCCCCACTGTCGGGGGTGGCGCGGCGCGCGCGCGTCTCCTTGCCAGCAGACGTAGAGTTGGCGGTGGCGATGGCGGTGGTGTTGAGGGCGGTGACGTTGCCGGAGCTGACCTCGGGCGCGAGCTGGGTCGCGTTGCCGTTGCCACTCACCGCCGCCGCCACGCTTTTGGAGTAGTTGATGACGGCCTGCACCACCTGGCCCAGCACGCCCCCAGGGCCGGGCTCAGCAGCGGGTGCGCTGGTTGCTGCCGCGGCGTCCGGCTCGGCGGCAGCCCGCTTGGTCTTCTGGGATGAGTCCGCTGCTGTATCCACTTTGGTGGCCACCTTGATGGCGGCGTCGGGCGCGACGCTTTGGTGACCCGAGTTGTGACCGTTCCCCGCCGCCCCCTTGGGGCCCGCGGGAGCCGCGCCCCCGCTCAGGAAGGTCTGCACGGCCTGGGCGTCGGCCGGCGTGCCCGCCGACAGCACCATGGCGTTGACGACGCCCTTGAGCGTGTCCAGGCTCGTCCTAGGTCTGCGTGCGGCCGGCGTCCCGAGGAAGTCGAGCTGGGTCTGGGCGGAGGCCCGCCCCACCCCAGTCGCGACGAACAGGACCAGCCACAGCACCACCTGCACGAACGCGCCGCGCACCATCGGGAACCGCGCCATGCTAGCGCAGCTGCACTGGCATATCTGGACGCACTGCGACGCCCTCCCAAGGCGACAGCCATTTATTGAATCTTCTTCGCTGCCCCGGCGCCCGGCGCCCGCTCCCCTCCGGCCCTCCAGGAGCGAAGTGGTGCCCGCCGGACCCCTCCCCCCCTCCTCCCCCTCACCTCGGTGCCATCTCCCTCCAGGTCCAGGGCTCCCCCAGCCCGCCCAGCTCAGAGCACCAAAAGTTCTTCTCTCACTACGGCCCTCAGGCTCCTTCGAAAATTTCGGGTCTTTGACAGAAGCAAAATCAAAACCCTACGGGAATTGTGTATTTTTCAGACTTGGTACTGTAGCAAGTCTGCAAAAACAATTTAAAATGCGAGTCAATATCCGAAAAGCAGTTGAAGGCTTCTGATCTTTATACCACTAAAATGACTCTTTTAAAATAAATGGTTGATGATTGAAGATTTTGGTTTTTTTCTAGCTCTTACTTATATCAACTCACACGGTAATTTGACGTCGTGTCTTCTAGATTAACTCACACCCGTTAACTTTCGGAGGATAGTGTTAATCTTTGCTTTACCCCGGTCGTTCATATTCTCCGGCAAAATCGGAAGGTTCCCAGAAGATACGACGCGTACTTCAATTCCTCGTCCGAATCTGAAAGGCCCGTAGCGTGGCGGCCTTGTTTGTTCACAGGAGTGGATCACACACACAAAAACAAAGAAAGATAGGCGCCGGCCGGTCACACCGCACTTTGTGGCTGTGGCTGAGAGGCTGACAGTGTAGAGGGTAGCGCCGCGGCGCGGCCCAGCGGCCCGCACGGGTGAACAGGATAAGTGCCAACGACAGATCGGCGGATCCAAGGATGTCCCTCAAAGCGCCTTGGCAGAGGAGTCCTGCTAACCACCGCGAGAGCCGCGTCGGAACCTGGCCGGACGACCGGAAGAAGACCTGGGCTGGGCCAGCTGGAGCAGCTCCTGGAGGAGCTTTTGGAGGAGCTGGAGCCGTCTCTGCAGGCCTAACATTGTTTCTGTTCGTGTGTTGCAGGCATAGACTACATTACGGGGACAAACTTCCTGGACATGCTGGACAACGGCGTGGTAGTCTGCCACCTGGCCAGGGTGATCCAGGACAAGGCCAAGCAAGCCGTCGAGTCGGGGTCAGTCAAAGGGGTAAGTTTGGTATCGGCAATAAAGGTGTACCCATAAAAATCCTTTCTGGTTTAAATTAATATTTATTGTACTGTTTTGCATTGCACAGTTTTCTCTTGAAGCAATGCAAATATATCATCATAACAAGATCACTCATCTTGGAATTGGTAAAATGTTCTTATTCAAATAGTATTTTTGGTACATATTGTTTCAAGTGATAAATGAACTTGTGCTAACCCGAGTACAAATCTACTTAAAACAAGAAAGGATTTTTCTGTGTGTTATTTAAGTTTGTTTTGAACCCTTTGGCGACGAGCGTGGGGGTCATGCGCTGGCGAACCTGGGAGCAGCCTCTTCTCGCTCCAGTCCGGGAAGTAGAGCTTTTCACGGGGAGTGCGCACGATTGGCTGCGGCCCGGCGCCCCGGGCCGGCCTGGGGCTCGCTCACGGCCCCCGCCTGTTATACATTAGGAAACGCATGGAGCGTACGGGCTCCAGCGTGACCGTGACCTATCGCATTCTCAGTTCATCTTTGCATTTTTATTTTATATTTATCATCATCAAATAAGATAGCAGATGCTGTATTTACATTTTATTCCCTGGATATTTGTGTGGTTGACCGTACGTTTTTCTCAGTTCTCATTATTCCATTCCTTTTTGAAGTAACAGTCCTCCAGTAGATTTTTTGCTGACTCAACCTCCCTAGTTGCCTGCATCGGTGAAACACGTCAATCGATGCGAAATCAACTTCGATTATCAATTGACAGTTTCCTTCATTTTCTATGTCACTTTGAATTTTAATTTTATCGCTGATCTCAAATGCCAGCGCGTGCATTATGTGTCCCGCTATGCATATGGCCTGTGGCCACTAGTAGTGCGGTGAGGGAGAAGGAATAAGTAAAAGGACCAACATAACACATGTTTTGTCGTGGCAGAAGAAAAACTATGGTTTCTCCGAGAAGGCACGTGTTGGTACGGCCTATTTTATTGCGATTTTTTTTTGCCAGTGTTGCACAAGCGTTGAGGAAGAAACGAAAAAAATCTTCATAAATATAAATGTTTCTGTTGGTTTGTTTGCAGCCCGTGCCTGCCATCAAGGGCCGCTGCTTTGAGACCGCCCCTCGGAGGTCCTTCTTCTCCAGGGACAACATGGAGAACTTCATTCAGTTCTGTAGGCAGCTTGGGGTCCACGAGAATCTTCTGTTTGAAAGCGACGACCTGGGTAAGTTCAGAACGACCCGTACGATCCCCAGCCCCCTCCAGAGTTTTTATTTTGTTATAACGCAACGTTACCCAGCGGACTAGAAGTTACCACTAGTGCTTCAGAGGCGGGAGGTGTGGAGGTTTCATTCGTGTACTCGATGGACCCGAACAGCGTTCGAAAACGACAGGAAGACAGCAAGATAAATCTATGGTCCGATTCGAGAATGTCGCTTGCACCTGTTTGACTTTTGGGGTGCGCTCCGGGTCCGGTCTGGTACCCGAACGAAAACTCCGCCCCGCCCCGCCGCGCGGCTCGGAGCGCCCGCGAGGTAGGCACGCCCGTCAGGCACGCGCACCGAGCGGGCGGCCCACCCCACGCCTGGCTCCACGCCGGCCAGAGCGCCCGCGGGGTAGGCACGCCCGTCAGGCACGTGCACCGAGCGGGCGGCCCACCCCACGCCTGGGGCGTGTAAAGTTAAGCACGCGTGAGCGTTCACGTGAGATGAGCGTCCTGGTGAGAGGCAAAATGACGCGAAAATTGACAAACCCATAGATTTTTAGAGAGGAGGGACTAAGAAGAGTGCAATCCTGCAAAAATATTTTCAATTTGAAGTCGTTTCGTTTAGTATATGGCACCGCACGTTGCTCGTGTGAGCGCTCATCTCACGTGAAACGCTCACGCGTACTTAACTTTACACGCCCCTGGCTCTACGCCGGCCAGAGCGCCCGCGGGGCAGGCACGCCCGTCAAACACACGCACCGAGCGGGCGGCCCATCCCGCCCCTGGCGGCACGACTAACTCCGTGCTCTCTGTCCGCAGTGCTGCACGCCCAGCCCCGACACGTGGTGCTCTGCCTGCTGGAGGTGGCCCGCATCGCCACACGCTACGCGCTGGAGCCGCCGGGCCTGGTGCAACTGGAGAAGGAGATCGCGGACGAGGAGGCGGACGGCGCGCACTCGGACTCGGGCATGTCGCACTCGTCGCTGCTGTCCTGGCAGTATCAGGCGTCACCCCAAAACAAGAGGACCAAAGAAAAGCTCAGGCACTCCAGGTACGTCACCAGGTGCTCCAAGCCCTGTCAGTCGTCTGCGCGTTGTGTAAGACTGCTGTCTAGTAGTTTGTTTTGTCCGGTTTCGATTCGCCGTTTCTCATCCACGGTTTCTCCGTTTGCCGCCCACAGTTCCTCCTCGGCGCTGAGCGTCGCCGGGTGCTTCGGTGGCGGCGGGCTCGTGCCGCTGGCGGTGCGCCCGCACTCCTCCACGGGCGACAGGCGCTCGCTAGGGGACGCGGACGGCGGCGTCGGCGTCACCCCTCTGCGGGGCACGTCGGACGGCGTGCCCTCGGACAACACGGAGGACGAGTGGTCGCGAGGCTCCGGCGAGGACCCCGACCTGGAGGTGGACCTGGAGGGAGCCCAGGATGCCGTCACGGCCCCGGGGGTCTCCGAACTGGACCGGAAAGTGCAGCTGGCGACTCGCGCCGTGCAGAGGCATTGCCGGTGTGCCTCTGCCAAGTGTGACAAGCTACGCGTGAAGAAGGTCGGGGAGGGCAGGTACAGCATCGCGGGCAAGAACGTCTTCATCAGGGTGAGTGCTCAAGTCACGAGATTAAACCTCTGAAAACTATAAAATTGTCATGTTGACGATTGGCCTGCTCTTCGTGACTTAGTTCGTGGCACTGTTCGTACTTGACCAAAGCCCTGTTGTTGCAGCTGCTGAAGGGCCGCCACATGATGGTCCGGGTGGGCGGCGGCTGGGACACCCTGGAGCACTTCCTGCAGCGCCACGACCCTTGCCAGGTGAAGGTAGTGAGCCGTGACGCGCTCCTTGCCTCGCCCGCCCCCGGGCCGCCGCAGGGGGGGCTGGGCGCGCTGGGGGCCGCGGGGCTGGGGGCGGACTCGCCCGGGGGCCACAAGTTCCTGCACATTCGGGCCAAGTACCGCAGCCACACCCCGGACACACCGGCGCGCTAGCACAGCCGGCACCTCGCTTCCAACGCACCCTGCCCTGCACTCGCACTCAGCCCAGCCTGCACAGTAGCTGTCTGTCTTTGGCGGTAGCAATTGTCTTGGCCTTTTCTCGTTTCGCCTTTTTTTATTACTTATGTAGAACACCTGTACATATTTTGTTGAAAATGATGCCGCAGGGTAATTTTGTGGGGCTTTAAAGCTTGACAGTACCTGATGTCTTGTTGCACTGATTAAATTTCAGTGTTGAACTGTAGACTGTGCCATATTCAAAGTCACTATGGTGTTGTTGCTGTTATGCAGAAAAAGTGACATTCACCAACACACTTGAATTCACCTTGTTATTTTTGCAAACCTAAGCACAATTCTCTATACTGGTTTCACTATTTACATGCGCACATGCAGCTTATTAGGAAGATTTTTCTATATTTTATTTTGTTATTTTCCACATGTTAAGTTTTTTGCATGTTTGAAGCAACGTTTGTTTTTGTAAATGTTGTAACATATTTTTTTGTACTATTTGTCTGAAATTCAAACTACTGATGAGAACAGGGTATTTCAATATTGTATGTTGTGTAGTAAGTTAAACCTTACATGGCTAAATAGCTAGGGGCTGACTCAAGTTAAGACATTATGCATCATTTTGCATAGCTGAAAGCTTTTAGAAGGACAATACACTGCTTAATACTATTAAATTGTAGCACTTAACTTTTAAGAGAAATAAACAACGCACATTTTCACTTTATATTTATAATTTAATTCAATGGTGCATAGACAAAGTCACCACTAATGTCAGTGCAATTTCTAGAATTCTCTTAACAATTTATTAGACCACTTTTAACCAAAGTGCACAATTCTAATCTGTGTTAAACGTACATATACTTTTTCTTCTTTTCTTTTTATTGATGTGACACCACATTTGAGGTCTTTGAGCAGTGTTCTGGGGAAAACCCACCATGCCTTTAGGTTGCCATACCTTTTGGTGTGATGCGTTTTGAAGCTCTGAAGCTAATGTAATTGATGTATGTTGTTTAAATGTTAGGTTGCGAAGAAGAGATCTCTCCTTCAGTGCAGAAAAGCCGTGACAAGAAAAAGTGCTTTAAGTAGGCGCAACAACAGCGAGCCCAAGCTTAAGAAAAGAGTTATGTTCTTCTTGTGAGCAAGTGAGCCTCTCTTCCAGTGACAACCGTTTTCCACTGTTGCATACTATCCGTGCACTTACTAATTGTAGTTGCATGGTCGTATAGAGAGTATCTAATAATTGTAAAATACTGATTGAATAGTTTTTCAAATATTTAGTTCTTTTCCTCTCCTGTTATTTTTCACACCATTCTTATTGCGGTCCTTTCATCACATACATTATGTACAGTAGTTTAAAGAAACATTCATGATTTGGTTAATTGCTAAGTTTAAAAAATCCCTGTGATGCAACCAAACCAGTGTGTTTGTTATGTGAAAATTGACTTAACAAATTTTGTTTCACCTTACAGGGAAGTACTCCAAGACACAGATCTAGGAGTAGTTTAAAGAAGAATTGACAAGAAATTCAGTTATCAACTTAGTAACAAATTTTGTTTTTACAATGTGTATGTTTTTAGCATGTAATACCATACATTACTTAGCTGTGAAGGATTATTCCTCTGCCTTAAACTCATAAATCCGGCCATTCCAATAATTGTATAAGAAAAATACCTAAATTGTATCTTGCATTCAAGTACATGCCAACATAAAGGTGTGTACCTACAGCTGGAAAAAAGGTGATTAGTTGTGATACAAAAAGTACAGTCTGTTGAGAATATGGAACAATTTTCCTTATGGAAGTTGACGTGCTTACTCAACCATATTTTTGAAGCAAATTTTATTAATATGGCCATACATTCTGTGAATTTAGATATATGTAATTATTGTAAAATGTGACTGTCACACTGAAGTTGCCGTTTTAGTTTTTTTTGTCTTTTGAGTTATGGGGAAAACTTTGTTAATTTATTATGTTTATGTTTACTTTTTGTGTGTTCTATTCTAGTGAGTAATTTTTACCACCAATAATTAGTTAACCCATAGTTCTGAGTTTTCTAGTTGAGATACAGTTGTGATGCAATGTGTTCAGTTTGTTCTAAAATTGTTCCAGATATTATGAACAATTTTGTATGAACAAATGGACCAAACAAATTATTGTCTCCTCCATACAATAAACAAACCAGTTTATAAGATAATAAACTGTTCTTGTTTAAGTCTTGTGACACTTCTACTGTTTGCCAATTACATCATTTTTATTTCTATGCAAAAGAACTGTAATCATTTGGGTTTTGAATTTGACATGACATTGCAATATTTCCCCTGAGTTAATTGTTTGTATTGGTGAATTTCTACGTACTTCAGCTGGCCTGAAATCATATCAGTAAAAAATCCTTATGAGGTATTTATTGAATATTCAAAACCGAATATACATCCTAATTTTGATGAAGTTTATCTTTGCCAGGTCAGCTTAATGATTTATTCAGATGTGTACTTTGACAGTGTTGTTTTTCTTTTTGTCAACCGTGAAATACCTTGCTCAAATCGTCTTGTTGTTGTTCAACATAAGCAAATCATTCCGTTTTCCCTATCTACATAATTGTATGTATTTGTTGATCCTGGTTTCTAATTATTATGTACCTTAAAAGTCTACTCTTATTGAATATTTTAAGCTACTATATATGAGTCTTTATTTATACCATCAAAGTGTCTTTTAAATATCTCTACTATAGGGATCCTGGTTCAGATGATGTAACATTTGTAGCATACTCTAAAAAGTTACCGCAAACAAGTAGAAGTTTTGTTTTTAACAGGATAAACTCTGTTCACCACTGATTTAATTTTAATAGAAATTTGATAGTATGTTCCAATGCCCCTAACATATTCTGTGTGGAAAGTGTAAATAGTTAGCCATAAATATGTAGAAACACAGATTTTTCTTCAACTATATTTTAGAGTAAGATGAAGACGTGCATTGTTCAATTGTTACAAAACACTCATGTGTAGCATCTTGTATATTTTTTTTTAGATTGCAAGTGATTTTTTACAATAAAAGCTTGACTTACACAAAAAACAATCCCCGGGAGTTGTGATTTATGCTAGAAAGCTTTGGGCTCCAAGACAATGCAAGGGACCATGAGAGAAGGGCGCCCTTCTCTCATGAAGGGACTGAGAGTTATCAACTTGATCCTGAAGCTATGAAGCTATGGGTACTATCGAGAACTCTACCTATACACAGTCATCATACATCATAATGTGTCATCAGACAAGGTCCCCCCCCCCCCCTCCTGGCCTCTACTCCCCTCTCTTTCTTTATCACCTACACTCTAATCTTCCTCTCTTGCCTCTTGCCAGTCACTTCAGTTTTCAGTTGACAGTCCGGTAGTGACCGGTGTACAAGAAAGTTGGTGTCACTATCAGATTAATATTATCTTAAATTTTTTTTTTTTTAATTTACCAAAATATGACTCCTGTTGCTCTTGTAAGTACACAATAAGTGAGACAGTTGACACTGGAGAAAACGTAACCTACAAAGTCTTTAATTTTCTGTGGCAGGATCATCCATCCATGCCACAAAACAAATAATCCACAAAGATATACTTATGAAAATTTACATCAGGGAATCAATTGGATCTGAACCCATTTTGGTCACAAAATGTGGAGTTGGTTCTGAACAAGAAGTCCTTTTAATATTCTGTCATTTTTTGTGATCAGGTTACCGGCTCAAATAAAGGGATTGGGTTTGGCATTGTAAAAGGATTATGTGAAAAGTTCCCTGGAATTGTCTACCTTACTGCAAGAGATGAGGAGCGTGGGAAGGCAGCTGTTGCAGAATTAAACAAGGCAAGAGTTGCCAGGGGCACAATAGTCTAAAAGAGTTTTAAGTCTGCTACACCGCTGATCTTTTGTTTTGAATTTTCAGCTTGGCTTAAAGCCAGAGTTCCACCAGCTAGATGTAACAAATAAAGAAAGCACTATTCGCTTGAGGAACTTCATTCAGGAAAAGCATGGAGGACTTGATGTGCTCGTCAATAATGCTGGTATTGCATTCAAGGTCTGCGGAATGTTGCAATCCTCAGCTGGATTCACAATCGGAAAGCTGTGAGGGTAGTTGGGGCGAGGGGTGGGATGAAGGCAGGGGTGGTGTTTGCCCCCCCCCCTTTTCCCTACCTTTTGCCTAGACATGGAGAGTTCCTATTGTAAATCCAGCTTATCTCATTTGTGTTTTGGAAAGTAAAGGTATAAACACATTGAATGTTTTATTTTCTAGGCATCTGCGACTGAACCAGTATCTGTCCAAGCTGAAGTAACTCTTGCAACAAATTATTTTGCTCTTGTTGATTTTTGCAATGAAATTTTCCCATTGTTACGACCACATGCAAGAGTTGTTAATATTTCAAGCTCATGTGGACATTTGCTTCGAATTCCTGGGGAAGAAATACGCAAACAATTCTTGAATCCAAACCTCTCTGTGGATGAGTTGTCAGAGCTAATGCAAAATTATGTCACGTAAGTAGTACACATTTTCCAGTTATCATTATTTCTCTTTTGTTCCTCTTTTTTATTATTTTTTTTAATTTATAATTTGTAGTGCTGCTAAAAATGGAAATCAAGAAGCCTTGGGCTGGGGCTCTGGTTCTTACAATGTTTCAAAAGTAGGTGTAAGCAAACTTTCTTTCATTCAACAAGCCATGTTTGATAAGAATGGACCAGAAGATGTTATTGTAAATGCAGTGCACCCTGGATACGTTGATACAGATATGACAAGTCACAAAGGGCCATTGACAATTGAGGAAGGTAATCACATTTTATCATAATCCCTGTGTTTTAATTCTTGTCACCCTAAAATCACAACATGAATCTGAATTTCTACTTCCAGGTGCTGCTGCCGCTATCTACTTGTCTTTACTCCCTCAGAATATTGCACAACCACGTGGTGCCTACATTTGGCATGACAAAAGAGTTGTGGACTGGACGAAACCCCTTCCTGCTGTTGTTTAACTCGGTTTAACTGTACTGTTTTCACTGAATGCTCACAATAAAATTTTTATCAATTTAACAATGCATGGAAATCATAGAAACCAGATGTTCCTTGTAAAAACAGTCGTCGTGTTGGATCTTGCAGATTTTTCTTTCATTCCAAGTTATTTCTACAAATGCAAGCCTATAAATTAAACACAGCGATTGTCGTCGCATACATTGCGTAACATCGTTATCAATCATCACACACCGCGTGAGAATCGGATAAGCAAACAGGAATTCCCCCACCCCCACTTTTTTCCTCCAGACACACACACAGACACACATACACACACACATACACAGCACACCTACCTGTCCACCCGTCTGTCCCTGTCGCTAAAATAGCGTCCCGGTCCAGTGTCCAATGAGCGATGTAATGTCGCACTGACAGGACAGACGGAAAGAAGGATTTAGCTTTGTCCTTTGGTAGCCAGAGTTTGATCTAGCACCTTAGGTAATCTTGCAAACGATGACGACTCCTGTTGCTCTCGTAAGTAGGTTGTAGTAGGAGTAAACTATGACAGAGTTACTCTGACACCGCCGATCGGAGAAAACATAACCTACAAATTTCTTAAGTTTTTGTGTCTTCTGTGTTCAAAGAACAACGACATTTATAAATATCACATTTTATTAGTTTGCTATCAAACCATCAAACTGAAAATCTTCCGTGGGCGTAGCAAGATGATATATTTCCTGTTTCTAGCAGCCCCCTAAAAATAAATAAAAAAGAACAGAAAATGGACTTAATAATATTTATTTGAAGTGTTCTAAATAATTAGACACCATAGGAAAAAATACACTGTTGCCTGTAAGACCATCAAGGTTGCACGATTTTATAATTTATCACATCAATGCCATATTTATTAGGCAAATGTTTCTAGAGCAAGATTTTAATTTTTTTCCCCCTCTATTTTATGAACAGGTCACTGGCTCGAACAAAGGCATCGGATTTGGCATTGTAAAAGGATTGTGTGAGAAATTCCCTGGAATTGTGTACCTCACTGCAAGGGATGAGGGGCGGGGCAAAGCTGCTGTCGCAGAATTAAACAAGGCAAGTTGCACAAAGCACAATCTTCTGAAAAAGTTTGTCTGATAAGCTTCTCACCTTACGTTTTTTGTTGTTTTTTTATTTTCAGCTTGGCTTAAAGCCAGAGTTCCACCAGCTAGATGTAACAGATAAAGCAAGTATTACTTGTTTGAGGAACTTCATTCAGGAAAAGCATGGAGGACTTGATGTGCTTGTCAATAATGCTGGTATTGCATTTAAGGTTTGTGAAATTTTACAGGATTTCTCTGTCATCTCTGTTTTGAGAAATGCTGGAAAATGTACCATGTCTTCTCTATTTTCTAGGCATCCGCAACTGAACCGGTATCTGTTCAAGCTGAAGTGACACTTGCAACAAATTATTTTGCTCTTGTTGATTTTTGCAATGAAATTTTCCCATTGTTACGACCACATGCAAGAGTTGTTAATATTTCAAGCTCATGTGGACATTTGCTTCGAATTCCTGGGGAAGAAATACGCAAACAATTCTTGAATCCAAACCTCTCTGTGGATGAGTTGTCAGAGCTAATGCAAAATTATGTCACGTAAGTAGTACACATTTTCCAGTTATCATTATTTCTCTTTTGTTCCTCTTTTTTATTATTTTTTTTAATTTATAATTTGTAGTGCTGCTAAAAATGGAAATCAAGAAGCCTTGGGCTGGGGCTCTGGTTCTTACAATGTTTCAAAAGTAGGTGTAAGCAAACTTTCTTTCATTCAACAAGCCATGTTTGATAAGAATGGACCAGAAGATGTTATTGTAAATGCAGTGCACCCTGGATACGTTGATACAGATATGACAAGTCACAAAGGGCCATTGACAATTGAGGAAGGTAATCACATTTT